TTATGTAAAATCCAGACTATTGTATTAAATATACTTTATATTTAATATTTTTGAAAATGGATATTTATTAAAACAATTATATAGAATACTGAAAGTCTTCCTTCTAAATATGAACTCACAAAATTTTGTACGTATGGTTTTGTCTCTAACACTTATTCGAATCCACGTTCGAATAATTTGAATCAATAAAATAAAAGCACAGAATAGATGCTTTATTTTGCACAAGTAGCAAATAACAAAAATGTAAGACACTTACCTTACGATTTCTCTGCCGTTGCCCGATGCCGCCTAAGTCTGCTCCTCCTCTCAGATTTTCTTGTTGCACTTACACTCACACACTCACTCGCGAAAATGGATCGCGCGAAATTTCGGACACTCCCGTACGCGATGTAAAATACCGCGAAATACAGTAAGTGGCTTTACTTCCTGCCCGTTCGAGTTGCGAAGAACGACAGAGCGAATTACAGCGCGAACGCCGAAGTCGCACAAATATCTCTCTCTTCCCGAAAATGGAACAGATTACACGAAATCGATAGATAGTTAAAAGCGCGGTGCGTAAATGAGATGTAACCGCGACAAAGTACCACGGTTTACCTTTCATGTTTTAGATGAGTTGGTCTCGTGAAATATCTATGTACACGTTGATAAAGAGCCGTCGCCTCAACGCGCAATTCGTTTCTCATTACAAGTTGTAGAAACTCAATAATTAATCTAGTAGCGTTATTTGTCACTGATAAAGGAGTCCAAATCAATAGCGTTTTATCCTTACATTATTCACGATCGAGTCTTGGAAACCGGTAACGTAAAAATAATATCACGCACGGAACTACTCTCGCTGCTGCCTGCCGGCTCGACGTTCGGCGAGCGAGTGATAAGTACGGTATTTTCCATTACGTAGATGGGCCAACGAATTCTCAACGTTTTTTTGTTGTTTTTCACTCGGCGCGGCATTGTAAACGTCACGCGAACCATTGTTTACACTAAGGTCGCCGCGCAGTCACTCGCCGAACGTCGAGCCGGCAAGCAGTGGCGCGAGTCGCTCCGTGCGTGGTATTGTTTTTGCGTTGTCGGTTTCCAAGACTCGATCGTGAAGAATGTAAGGATAAAACGCTATTGATTTGGACTCCTTTATCAGTGACAAGTAACGCTACTAGATTAATTATTAAGTTTCTACAACTTGTAATGAGAAACGAATTGCGCGTTGAGGCGACGGCTCTTTATTAACGTGTACATGGATATTTTACGAGACTAACTCATCTAAAATATGAAAGTAAACCGTGGTACGTTGTCGCGGTTACATCTCGTTTACGCACCGCGCTTTTAACTATCTATCGATTTCGTGTAATCTGTTCCATTTTCGGGAAGAGAGAGATATTTGTGCGACTTCGGCGTTCGCGCTGTAATTCGCTCTGTCGTTCTTCGCAACTCGAACGGGCAGGAAGTGAAGTCGCTTACTGCGTTTCACGGTATTTTACATCGCGTACGGGAGTGTCCGAAATTTCGCGCGATCCATTTTCGCGAGTGAGTGTGTGAGTGTAAGTGCAACAAGAAAATCTAAGAGGAGGAGCAGGCTTAGGCGGCATCGGGCAACGGCAGAGAAATCGTAAGGTAAGTGTCTTACATTTTTGTTATTTGCTACTTGTGCAAAATGAATCATCTGTTCTGTGCTTTTATTTTATTTATTCAAATGATTCCAACGAGCATTCGAATAAGTGTTAGAGACAAAACCATGTGTATAAAATTTTGTGAGTTCATATTTAAAAGGAAGACTTTCAGTATTCTATATAATTGTTTTAATAAATACCTATTTAAAAAAATATAAAATATAAAGTATATTTAATACAATAGTTTCGATTTTGCATAATTAGTCTATAATAATCGTATACATTTTTGTATTGTTAGTTTAACATATACAGTTAGCGATGTACAACTTTGCTGTTGCGACTCGTATCAGTGAGTGACATATTACTTTTTATTTTAAAGTGACGTTGCGCATACAATTATTTTT